ATATATATATATATATATATATATATATATATATATATATATATATATATATATATATTTCATATAAACGCGATGTTTATATTATTTTATTAATTATAAAATTCGAAACGTCGCTTAATAAATAATTATATAATGAATATTGGTGTTCTAATTTTTAATTTAAATTATAATTATAAAAAACTAATAAGAAAAATAGAAAATCTTAATAAAAAATTAAATCGCGTTTAATGAAATATGCTTAAATGAAAATTTGTTACCGAAATTTACTGATATATATATATATATATATATATATATATATATATATATATATATATATGTGTATATATATATATATATATAATATTCCTATATAATATTCGGTATTCCTACACCATCTTTGGTGTTCAAATTGATATGTTCTGGTTGTGCCCAGATGCTCAAATATTTTTATACTGTGCCTTTTTATTGGTTCCTTGGAGCAGCCTACAAATATCTGAGCGTCTGAGCACAACCACAACATATCAATTTGTGATAGGTTGTGATTTTTTTCTACATTCGATCCCGGACATTGCATCAGCAGTACTAGGCACCTTAACCATTACACCCTTTTTGATATTATCTTTTAATTTAATTTCATAAAATAACACAGATTGGCAATATAGATATATGGACCAAACCATTATCAACACCTAACTGTTCGGCATTTGTTTTTTTGAACTTTGGTACTTCAACTCCTACAAAAGTTTCCGTCAAACTTTCTGAACTCGGTCTGCAAGGTCGAAACGGCTACAAAATATATGAAGTTTTCAGTAACATTCCATTTCCCAAGATTTACTACTTAAATTCAACTTTTGAGTCAAATGTCAATCCAAGCGGTGTTTTTTTTGGAAAAGCCATCGCATTGTAATATGGTGACGCGAATCAGAACCATGAAAGCAATAAATATTTAAACTCGAGTGAGAGTAATAAATTGTTTAATTAATGTTTATGATTATTTGTGGAGGCATTTAGAATGATGGAGTTGACGCCAATTTATTGGATTTTTACTGTTGATTAATTGAAGTTTTTATACTTTTTGAAGTTTTCATAATTTAACTTTTAAAATCATCATGAATAATGAAAAAAAATTTCTTTTTTATATTGGACTAATATTTTAAGTTTTTTATGCTTATAATTGAATTGTGGGTGTTTTAGTATTCGGCTTCGGCCGAATGGCGGATCAACTATTCGGCCTTTGTCCAAATTCACTATTTGGTGTATCTCATTTTCTAAGCGCATTAAACAAATTTTCTACACGCATTACTTACAACCTTTAAAAATGATTAATCTCCATAAAATTTAATATTCACTCGTTTGTTATTCTTTCAATTCACTCATCCATTCGACATTATGAACTGTTTGAAATTGACAAATACATTTACATTATTTATTTGGTTGTTGATTCACTTTTCAATAAAATACTGTTATTATTACAACCGTTCAACAACTGGACGTGTTACGACAAACGCACAATAACGATATCACAATAGGTGTATACGGTTTAAATCGTTGATTTTTCCGTTGTTTCTTAAATTGCTGTTATGTCCATTAATTTAAAGTACAAATAAATAAGATATAATTTGAAGCAGCAACAAATATGTATATTAATCATTTACGTTGTTACTGATTAATGATTATAGTCAGGGTACTGTTAGCATGTTGTTTACAGTTTAAATTTAAAATATAATTGAATAAACAAATTATTGTAATGAATAAAGAAATTGTAAAGAAATAGTCCTCTTTTAATCGATGTCAATTATTGGTTTTAAAACTATTTCTGGTTGTTTTAATTTTTCTCTTACTTTTTTACCAGATTCTACTTGTTTTTTAGCTGATTCTCTATCGTCCATGCCTTCAGGAAACATTGATTCTCTCTTATCAGACCTGTTTCGCAATGCAAATGTCGCTTGATCGTTCATTAAGCCTGGGTGTATGGTTTCTACTTTTGTGTTCGGCCTGTCGACAATTAAAGTTCTTTTTATATTCATCTTGGTTTCTCTGAAGATATCTTTTGAATCGGATTCTACAGCGTTGTTTTCTTCATTGTCTTTATCGTCATTTAAATAGTTTTTAATGCCTTCGATGCCATTATTTTTATAAGCAATGTTCAAATAAGCTTCTAATTTTGAACATTCATCTAAACATATATATGTTAAATTAGACATATCACAAATTACTTTTGGTAAATTTGTTATTGAAGTTTGTTTTAAACCAAGGTGTTTTAAAGCAATTAAATCTCTAATTTCGTTGGGAATGACGGATATTTCGTTAGAAGAAAGATGGAGCAACTTTAAACTTTGTAGAAGGCCAATATTTTTTGGAATATCGAAAATTTTATTGTTCTGTAAAGAAAGTATCTGTAAATTTTTCATTTGAAGAATGATTGGACTAATGCATTTGAATTGGTTCCCGTCCAAATTCAGTTGTTTTAAAGAGGGAATAAAAACATCAAATTCATATAATTCATTATTTTTCATATTTAGATGTTGTAAATTAATTAATTCGCCTAATCCTCGTGGAACTTTAACAAACTTGTTTTTTCTTAAAATTAATGAATTTAATCTGCTTAACTGACAAAACGTATCAGGAAGATCTGACAGATGGTTTGCAGATGCTCTAAGGTCTATCAGCTCTGGCAAATTTCCTATAGTTTTTGGGAAGCAAGCCAGCTGATTAACAGAAACGTCTAACGTACTCAGACGAATTAGATGTCCAATGTTTGAAGGCAAACATAGCAGCCTGTTACACGAACAATCCAATGACTTTAAATTTCTCAACAAACAAATTGAATCAGGCAACTCCACCAAATAATTAGCACTTAAATTTAGTTCTGTTAAATTGATCAGTTGACCAAAATTTTTTGGTAACGCTGAAATATTATTGTGGCTTGAGTTCAAAATCTTTAGATTGTTTGATTTTTCTATACCGTTCAAATTTGTTATATGATTTCTTTGAATGTACAAAAACTTTAAACGTGAATGGAAAATATTTGCTGGTAAAAATTTAATTCGTGTCCACGTCAGTGAGAACGAATCTAGCTCCATCATGTCGCTTACAACAGATTTTGGCAAGCTTGTGAGAAATCCTTCGGGATCTTCTAGTTCTAATCTCTGAACTCTTTTGAATTTGGTCATATCTTCAAATGATCGACCTTCAGTTAAAATTTAAAAAAAACAGACAAATAAATAATTATTTATAAATAGAGGTGCTCTTTAATTTTGAAAAATTATATATAAATATATAACTATATATATGTACTTTATATATATATATATATATATATATATATATATATATAAAGTTATATATATATATTATATATATATATAACTGTTATATATCCACCACAAGACATACAGTCTTATTCGGTCTCCGCATATTCAACTTTATTCAACTTATTATTGGTAAACCATTCACCGCCATAGGCCAAACGTACGTTTCGTCTCTCATGAGGACTCGTCAGTAGCCAGCCAAATAAGGTTTAAGATAATACAACTCAATTATGGTAACCAAGAAACGCAAATTGAGGTGTGTTTTATATATATACATATATATATATATATATATATATATATATATATATATATATATACATATGGGTGCTCACAATGTTGATATATCTAAAAAAATAGTCAATTAAAGAAATATATTTACTCCACAAAATAGCAGGATTAACAATTTTAGCGCAAGTGGTGGTAGCACCGTGGACCGTGACCGTCCATATTTTCATGTCAGCGTTTGATTGTACGTCGTAGAAGACTTTCCTACGGTTAGCTGCGTCGGCTGTAATTGTTGACGTTTATTGGCATATTAATTCTAAGAATAAAAGAGTTGTAAAAAATATACCTGACCACAACAACAACAGCTAACCTCCTGTTATGACAGAAAAGAATTTTAAAGTCTTAACTTTAATTTTGGAAATGGTACTCTTTTCCTTATTGAGTTGGTTATTAGTTATGCAGTCTGGATCGTTTGCATCGTCGCTTTCCTGATTGTTATCACGTGGTAATAAAGATTTTTGCATTATAATTTTTAATATAATTTGATTATTATAATAATTAAATCTTGTAACTTTACGTTATAAATTTTATTGTTGAATTGCGCCGCATTAATACGCAAACATTTAATAAACACACGTACATATAAGGCAAATACACACACATATATATATATATTTATTTAAATATACAAACATATATATATATGTGTGTGTGTTTGTGTAATATGAAGCTGCGTACAGATTTTCAATACATAGCTGTCAAAGCCTGTCGTAAATTGAGTATCTGTTCATCTGTTCACTGCCGCGTTCACGGCTCAGTTAAATTTAATAAAGTTAATAGCGCTGATGTGTTAACTATTTGAACTTTCATTTCATTAAAAAAATCATTCCAAGTCATCTATTTTGATGATCCCAAACCAAATTTGTATTACTACATTCAAAGATTGGCAGCGTTAATTAAATATGTATGAATGAGAGTTTAATAAAATGTTTGCAAATGATCATGTTAACTGTAACTTAGTAATCATGTTGTAACAAAAAGATCTCATTTAAAAAACATTCTACATTACTGGTCGCAAATTTAATTCGCGTTTATTAAACATTAATAATGTTGCTAACGTTTATTTCAAACTTTCCCAGACTTTCCTACGTGAGGTAAAATTTTTGTAAACAGTAAGTGACATTGTTAGCTGCATTACTTTTCTATTTTAATCATTGATTTATAGCTGTTATATTTTAATCATCGATACATAGCCTATTTGGTGTTTTTTTATACATTTATAGTGGCCTATATAGATTGGTTTAAGCCTTGTCAGTGACGGATCAAGGAAACGTTGACGAGGGGCCAATATTTGAAATATGTGTTGACAGTTTATAAAATTTGTTGGGGAACCAAGAAATTCATTGGTGTGGCTGAAATTAGACTGGCGACCTTTTTTTACTTGAAACCGGTATTTTTCTGTCTAAAATCTGAATTTTAATGACTTCTTATCAAAAACTGCTCACAATGGGGGAGAAGTCATGACTCTCCTAGAACGATTGAGCTTAGTACATTTTAGTAGACATGCTGCGCAATTTTTTCACAAACAGTTCAACTATGACCAGTGTCAGATCGAAAATGATTAGACGTTCAGCAACTACGTCGAACCAATGAATCAATTAACATGAAAAATCGGTCAGACGTTTGCCATACCATGTATTAAAAACATTAAAAATTCATGAATTCGTTCATGGCACCTTTTTTCGTGTTATTTGGTGCAATCCCAAGAGGTTTTCCTGTCCAGGACTTCTCCCATCCACCACCCGGGAGACGCGCCTCAATGCTGTTGTACCCCAGCACGAGGTATAAATATGCATAAATATTGTGCAAATGCATGAAATAAATCAATTAAAAAATGTAAATGAATAAATTAATTAATGAATCCGTATTAACAGAAAAGGATTTCGTTTTTCAAAAAGAACTTATTCATTTTATTGTTTTTAATTTTAAACATTCAGACATAGTTTGCTGTAAAAATGTATAATAAAAAAAATGTTAAATTTCTTGTCACGTAGATCGTTTAATTAATTGATTGATATAATATTGAAAGACATTAAAAGAAGATAAAAAACTTAGCAACGTTCTTTACTTGTTTATTATCAACCGGAACAGAAAAGGGAAAAGTGAAGTTACATACAAAGCAAAAAACATTTGGTCCAATGAAAATAAATGTATATCTTAAATCATAATGTTTTAAAATAAAACATAAAACTTAACACCTTCTCATTTTATTTAAAACATTAGATGACCTACAGATAAAAAACATACAGATGACAAACATTAGATGACATACATTAGATGACATACATTAGATGACAAACATACAGATTACACCTGATGTCAATCTTCCATTAGATTTATCTCTTCCACGATCTGCATCACTGTAGGCCGTAAGTGTATTGTTTTGACCAGACTCGTGAACAATAACCGACATCAGCTGTGCCTTGCAAATATCTGAAAATTTGCTTGACTTGTGTTACATTGGACTTGCTGGGTTTCTCCAAACTTCTGGATGCTACTCCAACTGCATATGCAATATCTGGTCTTGTTCACGTCAAGTACATCAATGCACCAACTGCTGATCTGTAAGGAAATTTCACTTCCTCGTGTTCATTTATGTTTTCATCGACCTCCTCAGATTTTGTAATAGGAGTTGTACAGGGTTTACACTGGCTCATCCCAATCTTTTCAAGAATCATTCTTACATACGATGAACTTCTGACCACAGGACTATAGGTTTCTTTATAGTCAATTCCCCTTTTCTGCGAAAAACCTTTTACCACTAGCCTAGCTTTAAAACGTTCAACAGAACTATCTGGATTGTGTTTTACCTTGTAGACCCATTTGCATTGTATTGCCTTATGACCTTTTGGAAGATTTACCAAATCCCACGTTTGATTTTTCTCTAATGACTGCATTTCACTGTTCATGGCTTTAAACCATTCATCTTTTTCATAACTTTGAATGGCATCTTTGTAGCTCTCTGGTTCAAATACTTCACGTAATGCAGACATAACAGAATCTAGATATAACGAGATGGCTTTTTGATATTATTCCTGTCACGTAAAACCATACCTTTGGTTTTTTGATTACACCAATCAGATTGATCTTCTTCATCAAATGAAGCTGAACTACGGTTGTGAACATCTTCATCAATTGAAATACTTTCTTTAATCAAAGTTTCTTTATTATCATCTTTGATTTCAACATCAATCGAAACTGTATCATCTGAACAACTTTCTTCTTGCAAAATCACTGAATTTGGTTTGACAACCTTCTCATCAAAAAATAACATCTCTTGATTGAAGCATTTTATTTCCTGGTTGAACAAAAATTCTGTAGCCATCGTCACCTTCATATCCAGCGAGGGTACCCTTCATAGCTTTAGTATCCATTTTACGTCATTTCTGCATAGGAATATGAACATAGGCTTTGCTACCAATGATTCGTAGATGTGTTATCTTAGGTTTCTTGTTAAACCACACTTCATACGGTGATTTTCCTTCTACAGAAGATGGTCCAGTTCGGTTGAGTATGTAAGCAGCAGTGTTAATTAATTCAGCCCAAAAGGCCTGAGGAGTTTTTCTTTAGCCAGTCTCATGGCTCTTGCTGCTTCAACTAGCGTCCGATTATCACGCTCACTGCATCCAATCTGCTGAGGTGTATAAGGCAATTGCAAAATTGATCTGACTTCTTTGTTGTCAAATTCACCTCCATTGTCATTTAATACTTTTGAGACTTTATGGCCAGCTGATCTTGACTCTGCAAGCATTTTTCTGAATCTTTCTGGTACATCTGATTTTTGTTTAACAAAGTAAACAAATCTGTAGCCCGTGAAATCATCTTTAAACAAAACAAAGTATCTGTAATTTTGAAATGAGAAGCAAAAGGGACCACATACATCAGTGTGAATTAATTCTCCTGGTCTTGATGCTCTTACTCGAGTTCCAAATTTCAATCGATGCAACTTTCCATAGACACATCCTTCACTGTCTACAGGTATACCGATGTTTAGTTCATGTTTCATGACCATTTTAACATGTTTCTTATTCTGATGTCCCATTCGTTCATTGTATAACTGCAATGCATCTTGATCATTGACAAAGTTAACTTGAACTTCAGAATTCAACGGTCTAACAGTTTTTGCAACAAGTTTTAACAAACCTCCAATGTTGTTTCTTATTCCAACAACATTTATCACATTGTCAATAAGTAGATGACAACTTCTTGAGGCTGAAACAAAAGAGCTATTTCTGTTCTTATCTTGCCTTCCAAAGATCTCTCATAGCTACACAATTGACCTGTGAGTGTTCAACTGTTCTTTCAGTCTTGTTTAACAATCTTCAAACTTGCAGCAAATGAAAAATATTTTTCTGGCAAAGTTTCAATTATTTAACACATCAGCAACAAGTCACTGTTTTCATCTTTTTCTAACTCAACCTTTAAATCTTTCCAAAGATTCTTGAGTTTTGTAACATGAGTGACAACATCATCACTTTCATCCATTTTATAACTAACGAACTTCATGCATAAGTTGTATGCTTTATCTTCATTAACTTCATCATACAATCTGTGAAGTTCTAACCAAACATCTCTGGCATTACTGAATGAACGAACTTTTTCATACGTTTCATCGGTCATGTTGGTTGACAGAATTATCATAGCACTACAATCTGCTTTATTGAATCTGTTCAAAGCAGTTTGATATTTCGCTATTTCATCTTTATTTGAGTCATCGTTTAATTCATCTGGACCTTTTAATTTGCCATTTATACGTCCATTGCATCAGGAATGCCGCGTAGTATTATACAAACTCTCGATTTCCAGTTCAACCAATTACTTTTGCCTTCTAGGTGTTTGATTTGCACTTTTGTTAGATCCATTTCTTCCTTGTCTTTCAATTTTACCTTTTAATTAGAAGCAAAATATCGACTTTAAGAGAATGAAGAAGCACGTGTTTTCTCTTCACTTCAGTCTTAAAAGAAAATCTTCCGATATTTCTTTATTCTAAATTTTCTTCGTCAAATCAATTAATTAAGAAAAACGTTATCTGGGCCCATAACCTGTTAAATTTCTTGTCACGTAGATCGTTTAATTAATTGATATAATATTGAAAGACATTAAAAGAAGACAAAAAATTTAGCAACGTCCTTGACTTGTTTATTATCAACCGGAACAATGGAAAAGTGAAGTTACATACAAAGAAAAAAACATTTGGTCCAAAGAAAATAAATGTATAAATAAATGTATGTATAAATAAATGTATGTATAAATAAATGTATAAATGTATATCATAAATTATAATGTTTTAAAATAAAACATAAAACTTAACAGAAAATAATGTGTTTGGTATAAAAATGTGAAAATTGAAAAATTCGACGAGTTTGAATAAAAATTAAAAATGAGACCAGACGCTAAAGCGCACAGCGCCGGCCTTAGCTTTTTTGACAGGTCGGGCAAAACTTGTAGACGCGCCCATATTTATTACTGATATTACCAATGGAAGGTAGGTAGCTTAACATTAATGAACAAGTAAAAGCGAGGCCAATACAAAAATATTGTAAAGATGTACTAAAAAGATTTTTTAATTAATTAATCTTTCATCTAAGTGTAAAATTGAATTTTTTAAAGATTTTATTATAATCGTCCCGGTCGACAACGAGTTCGTTTAATTTAATCCCAGCGAAAAATAAATGCAATTTAACTTCCAAATTATCGATTTATTTATTTACAAAACAATAATTAATTAATCAACCAAATCAAATAATATGCAATAGGATATTTCCATCTTCATTATAAGTGCCAACTACCATAAATAACATGACTTGTTTTGCCAATTCACCAGGTGCAAAGTTTCTTAAATTCTCGTAACCTTTCTGCATACCTTTATGTTGCAAATAAATGATTGTTCACGAATTGACATGCTATCAAGGATCAATGAACAGTATGTAAACTGGTTGGTATCTGTTTATTTTTTAAAAAGTTAGCATAGCACGATTGAGGCCTGGCCCTTCATCAACTGATTCCAGTCGCTTTTAACCATTGAGCCATCACGCCGCCCACGATAGTAACTGAAATAATAAATTATAAATGTTTTACTAACATTGGACATTTTTGAATACATGTTATTATTTGCAAGGCATCTAATTAATTTCTTTAAGGTGTTAATTCAGGTCGGAATGACAAGACGAATGTCTATGTTTCTATCTTATGCATAAAACATTAACATGCTTCTTATGTTTCAATATAAATATAACAAAACTTAACGCAAGCCAAATTTAAAAAAATATTTAATAAGAACTGAAATCTATAATACTTGGTGACTTAAATTAAAATGTAATACAATCTTGATAATATAGATATAAAAATACGAACCAAATTTACACTTGACATGACGTCAGTTATTAATGTTGCAGAAATATTATCGGAATTTAACTTTGCATCTGAAGAAGGCTGAAAATACAAAATGTTTAAATTATGATAGAATAATGTAGTTATTGGTTGCCAAACTTAGAGAATTAATATAAGTTTATTTTTTACATATAATAAATAATAACATAAATTACACTTCTGAAAAATTTACTTGACAACATATCTTAATTTCAAAATTTTAACTTAAAAAACATTTTAATTAAATTATACAAATATGATTAGTATTTATATGTGTAACACTAATCTAGTCAAATATCGTTGGAAAAGCATCCTTTTGAAGAAAAATTTTAAAACCAACTTTATAAAAACTTTTTGGTATAAAATTTTGCCACAAATTAAAATGGTTTTTTTTGTCATCGTAATTGTCAATGTATTTTTTGATAAGGTTTTCCCATTGTATCCTATTAATGTCATTTTTTGGCAGTCTGAATTTAAATTCATCAATCAATCAATCCTCGTTTATAGTCTCCATCCGTTATAGGTCGGACTTTTTATATTCCATTCATCAGCTCCTGTTTCTAAGCCGATCTATCCATTGCGTCTGTCTCTATGAGACCAAGTGCCTTCAAGTCCACCTGTATGGTCTGCGTCTAAGACTTTTTCAGGCGATCTCTTGAGCGGGTGCCAGGCAACTGGTGCTCAGTAACGAAAATTATTGTATCGTTTTTGCTTCGCTTCACATGGCCAAACCCTCGTAGGTGGTAACGACGACATGCATCCTTCAACGTGCACAGTCCCAATCGGTTCAGGATCTCGGTTGTATGGATATAATCCCTTAGGTCATTCGTCATTCTGATTCTAACTAATCATCTTCAGGTCAGTTCGGTGAAGCTGCTGTTCGAGTTTTGTTGTTATCGGTCACGTCTCTGTCCCATACCTCAGAACAGAACGTATGGCTGAGCGCAGCGGTAGAGGAATGCTACACTGCATCAGTACCGAGGCAAGAACGGCGGCATCAGCTGTTCCAGTACATCTTCCAAATACTGAAATGAAGTAATAGTTTCAATCGTATCATTATCTGGGCTCCGTTGTCGCGGGCTGATGAAAGCGGGGCATACGGAATCAGTCACTTTCCTCAGTGAGCCGGTAATTCTCTAGCATCGTTTGTGACACCACTGCTGACATCGTAGGCATTTGATTAAGTTGCTTCTAAGTCCAGCCCTACACACCGAACATGGCTAATGAACAGAGACCACAGACTTAGTGGTACCGCCGGTGATCATAGTTTTTGTTTTGTCAAGGTTTACCTTTAGCCCGTGTTTGGCGAGCTGGGTATTCCAGACCTCAAACTTTCTGGCTGCTTCTTGTTCCGAGGCCGCCGTCAGGACGATATCATCTGCATATATCACATTCCATATGATATCTGAGCGTATCGGTTTAGTTATTTCTTCCATCAACGTGATGAAGAGCAGCGGGCTGAGTATTGATCCCTGATGGACGCCGACGTTAATGTCAAATTCATTCATGTTACCGGCTGTTACTCTGTCAAAAGCATTTTCCAAGTCCACAAAGAGATGAAACAGTCTCTTTTGCTTTGCCAAGTATTTTTCCTGAAGTTGACGAATGATATTTATAGCATCAATGGTGGATCTCTCTGCCAAGAAGTCGTACTGGTAACCACCTATTGAAACACGACAACAGTCTTTTCTCAATGACTTTTTCAATAACTTTCAAGGGCTGTTCCAGAAGACGTATACCCCGATATGAGGAGCATTTCAGTAGGTCTCCTTTTCCTTTATATATCGGTACAGTTGTGCTACTGTTTCATTCCACAAGTAGTATCGATTTACTTCACATCTTCCAACAGAAGCCTGCCCCACCAGATGCTTTGATGATATCATTTGTAAGGCGAGCTTTAAGAAATTTACAATTTTGTTATTATTAGATTGTATTGCTGATTTATATAGCCCTCCTTGTGAGTTATCTTCAGAAGTGCTTTTTTTTAGATTAGATTATATTTGTCACATTTATGCATTTTTATTCGGTGATATGTTTATTGTTCACCATTTTACTAATATTTGTTTTTAATTGTAACTTAAATCCACTTTTCGTTTTTGCTTTTTTGTTTGTGTCTGTTATATACCGTATATACGGCAGCGAGTGCGATTGATTTTTAATTACGTATACTTTATAAAAAGTACATAAAAAGTACGTATACTTTCGGAATATGAACTATTTCCTATATTATAAGATTAATTAGAGCTAAGAAGAAAATGAAACGAAGTTTAAAAATAAAATTTAATGGCACTATTTATAAAACTGATTCATCTTCAAATATTTTAAATCTTTTAAACAAAATGGAAGAGAGGACTTTTGAAGACTCTAAATGTAAAAGTAAAGGTAAGTAAATTAAAATTGGTTGTTTTTAACCAGTAATTTATTATTTTAAACTTAAATCTGATTATTTTTCAGTGATGGAAAATACTGATTCAGAAGTAGAGCCTGCTGCACATTTACCAACTTTTGTCAATGTCTCTATTTTGGTAGAATCAAATGATGGCATATGTAATGAAAAAAACATTGTTGAAAAACGGTTTCAGCAGCCATCAGATTCAACAGAGAATGTAAACCAGAAACAAAACAGATGCTCTGGTTTTCCAAAAATGTGCAAAAATGAGCTTCAGTTTAAAGCTTGGCAAAAGTCCCGGTCATGGCTCATGATGAGTTCAAGTGGGTCGGTTATGTGCCGTATTTGTATAGAAGTAAAGTCTTCTACACCAGCAAGTGATGTGACACTCGGTTGTCGTAAGGACAGGGCTTTCATTGATGGAACTGTTGGCGGAAAAACCGTCAAAAAATTGCTAAAAAAAAATGATAAACACCAACAATCAAAATGCTACCCATACCCCCTAGTCGCGAGGATTTTCGCGCCTTAATGCTGACTTCATCCGCCAATCCTCATGACTCCTTACTTCTTTTTTCACAATTCGAACACTGCTTTTGACCTGATTTGCTAATCGGTTGAGTGACCAATTTGTTCGCCTTTACTTCAAGTCAGCCATACCTTGCATTGATCATTGATTTGCACAAGCTATCGCAACTTGACATTTCGCTTCTGCGTTCTTTGATCAATATGTCTTTCAACCTTTATCAGTCTTCGTCTTCTGCCATTGTTTGAAACCTGCTTTCTTACTGGCAAAGGCATTTTGCACCGTCTCGTTCCACCACAGAGTTTCGCGGTTGTGCTGGTGTTTTGGCCCAGATTTTCCACATACAGCGGTTGCAGCGTTCACTAGAGTGTCCTGAAAAGATGTCCAGGTTGTTTACCTTCTCCAGACGTTCCAGATGTGCCAATATCAACTTCTCGAATTTTTCCCTGCACATGGGGTTCTTCAGTTTCCATGTCTTTCTTCGAGCAGGCATTCGATCTGAATTAAATTTAACATAATTAATATCATCACAAATTGATGAAAATACTGTTATAACCGTGCTACCGAACGCACTAGATTCTAGCGTATTCTAGAATGTTCTAGTGACTGGAGCATTCTAGACTAGAGTATGCTAGAATCGGACCATCTAGAAGAATCTAGAAACGACGCTTGCGAAGAGTATATAAGCGCACGTCGCAAGAAGATTCGGGATTAGTGAAATTCGTGATTTTGTGAATAGCGATTCGGTGAATTATTTAAAGCGATATTTGATTTGTTTGTTGACGTTGTCATAGCGATAGATTTTAAACAATTTAAAAGTTAATTGTTGCGTTAATTTGAATTTGCTAGAAATAAACGATTAGTTGATTTCTTCTGTAAATAAAGTTTAATAACTAATAACTGTTTGGAGTATTTTATTCAATCGAAGATTTGAACCCGTCGCATCGTAAATCGGTTACGACAGCGAGTGTTATAACAATACATGTATTATAAATATAAACAAGCTTACAACTTTGAGTTAACATTACCATTTATTACATACAATATATATTTTATTAGTTTAATTGTTTTCTGGTTATTATAATTATATTTTACAGCGTATACTTTATTATTATCATTGTATTAATATTATTTATTATTATTATATTTATATTATTATGTATATTTGTTTGCTGATTATTATAATTATATTTTATAGTGTTATACTATATAGCTGTAGTGTATACGTATAATATGTATAGTCTAAATAAAATTAACCTGTATAAAGTAACATTTTCATTTAAATAAGATGAGTGGCATTTAGTTACGGAACACACTGGCATTTTGGTTTGGTTGATAATTCGTATCTGTCAAATCAAAAACTAAGCAAATATTTTCTAATTAAAAATGTATTATTTTTTAAATAATATTTTGACAAGTTAAAAATCAAGATTCACTAACTTTATGCATGTAAGAATGTATATAAAAGCCTATATAACAAACTTTAACTAAATTAAAATTGAACAAAATAAAAAATGCATATAAGGAAAGGAAATGTATAAATGCAGAAAATTATACTAATCCCTTGTCTGTAAATATACTATAGTACCCTAATAAATTATGATAAATATACAAAATCAAATTTAAAACAGCAAACGAAACAAAAACTTGGCAAGTGATAATTTTAGATCAGACGATTAATTAAAGACGCTGAAGAAGAAAATGACGATGCTTGAAAATAAAATTAATAAATAAATATATAATAAAATATAATATAAAATATAAATAATTAATAAATAAATATAAATTTTTGCCCAAAAATAATTTGTTTGCCATATCCTTTATATCTATAGTCTTTGTACCTTTTGTAATAGGACGCTTTTTACCACGGATATAATCAAAAAGATCATTAATGTATTAAGTTCATTTTTCAAATGGATATAAATTTAACTAAATCTATTTTCAACTAATTTTTATTATAAAAAATATTAGTATTTTTGCAGACAGCATTTGGCGCCCTCAGTTACCTGGCGCCCCCGGGCGGCGTCTGACCTCGCACCCCAAAGGCCGGTCCTGAGTGCACTGAAAATGTGCGCAGAAAAAAATGTTTTTAGGTACAGTTGAAAATTGTCAGAGAAAAGGTGACAATGAAGATTAGCACGCGGTGTATATGATAAATTACAGTCGACCAACTGCTGAACCATATGGAACACCGCGGATTAGTTTTGACTGAGCAAAGTTTGAATTATCTTCACAAACACAGACAACAGTGTGACGACATTTGCAGTGTACATGATGTATAGCAGAGGACCAGGTAACTGAACTTTAATAGAACACCGCGAGTTAGTTTTAAGGAAGAAGTGTTTGATTTATCTTTACCAGCACGGACCACTTGAGTCCTCACTGTTAAGTAGGACTACCTGCAATTATTATTGTTATTAAGACTAATTTGTATAGCGCCTTTTAAAAGGATCTCAAAAGCGCTTTCTAGTATACAAAACCATTATAGTACAATAATAGTGAATAATAACATCATCATTTCTTTGCGTCCGCATTTTCATTAATCTGGCTTAAGCGCTGTTGTTAAAGGTCCATTTTCTGAGCAGGAATCGACTCTTTCAATTACATCAGCATTTTTTGCTTTAACACATAGCCGGAAGGACGTTGATGAGTGTGTCTCATCAACGTCCTCGTCTTGATTTCGCCATCTGCTATTATGAGCACTGGGTAGCGTGATAATACCTTGACATTGATTGATCCATGGTCATGGTGATCAACAATACCCGACGAGAAGAATTTTGAAACATTTGACACAAAAGTCGGCCAGGTTTTCGCTGAGCAAACTCAACAGAGACATCGATACAGAAAGTTGTTTCGAATGTCGGTGATGCTGTTGACGCTGGACACATTAACTTGCTTGCATTTCCTGAAGTTCTGCATTTGACACGTGCACTAAAAGCTTTATTAAAACGATTTTCAACTTAATATGGTATTGGTGGTGATGTATACAATCGTCATATAGAGAACTGCAATGACGGTGGACGGAATAATTTCTTAGATTAAAAATTATATTGTCGATTCATCTAGAATATTTTGACATTAAGGAAGTTATTGAAAGCGTGAACGTTTTTAAACAGGAGGCCAGCAAACTCGCAATTGACCTGCCGGAATTTTTAGATAGTGCTGGGACAGATTTTTTTCGATATATATTATATATCGGTTAGTTTTTTTTAATGTTGGTGCTCAATATAGCTTTCCTTGTTATGTTGCCGATAATTTGTAGAATTATTTTTTGTGACTTAAAATATAAAAAATTTGCATCGGAAAAATATCCAAATGAAAATAAGCCAACCATATTGAACTTGCTCAATGGGCATAGCAACGTTTTAACCAATGTACAAAAAAGTGGACACCATACTACGCTGCACAACTAAAAGTAATATGCAACCAGTGATGTGCGCATCTATAGTGATGGTGAAAATTGGGTTGACGAACGTGCTGATTGCAACAACGAATGTCATTTTAGTAAAAACAATATTGAAAATTTTGTAACAGTGCGACATACAAAAAGATCTTGTTTTTTCAATGGTTATAAATGATTTTCAATTCACACCATCTACAGATACAACGTACAAAAATACTGTAGACCAACTAGCGATTGAATTAAATTTTTTTTGAAATGTAGTACAGTCGATAGTCAAAACGGAAACCGAGTACGTACGTGAATCACATTTACGACTTTTACGTCAACTGTCGTTCCGTCTTCTTTTTACCTGTACTCCTCCTGTTTCTTCTTGTTGTGTGCCTCCGTATCTCTCTCATATATAGCTGGGAATGCCGCGTCAAGTGACTTTTTTTTTACAACCGTTTTAATTAGTTACGCCTTCTAATTAAATTTGCAAGCCTTCACTTAATTTCTAACTACTAGTTCTTATCCCGCCTTCACGTCTGTAACTATATTTTAAATATAACAGAACAATAGAATCATACAGGGGAATAAAGAACCTTACCGGTACTTATACAATGAAACTAACCACAATAAAAGATAGAGATGGAAAATATTAACAGCCTGTAAAGAAATTCAGGAAAGATGGAAAAAACATTTTAAAAACCTTTACAATTGCAAACTGGAAGTAGAAACCAAAAGTCTGGAGGAAATTCCAAATATGGAAAACATAATATGAACAGAAAATTTTCTCGAAGAAGAAGTAGAAAAAACCATAAAAGACCTGAAAATAACACCAGGTATAGATGAAACAAGCCAAGAAATGCTTAAAGGAATAGGGAAAACAATGAACAAAGCGCTCCATAAACTAATACAAAAAATATTCCACCAAGAGATACCTGCGGACTGGGGGAAAGTAGAAATTGTTCCCATATATAAACAGAAAGGAGACAAAAAAGTTTGTAAAAACTACAAAGGGATAACACTGTTAAGCATTCCTGGCAAGATCTACACTAAAATGTTGTAGAGAAGACTACAATTATGTTGAAGAAATTATAGTAGAGGAGCAAGCAGGATTTCGTCCAGGCAGAAGCACAATTGATCAATTTATTTACTCTTCAACAAATAATGGAAAAGTATATTGATGCAAACAAAACCTGTTTTATCATTTTTATAGATTACAAACAAGAATAATAAATGAATAAACTTTCCAGGACAACATTCATTTCCTAAAATCCCCTTTTAGATTGGATTAAAGATTTTTTATGTACCAAAATGTATTATTGTGCCTAATTTCATACGCTTGGTTTTGGTGAACTCGTGGTGAGTTAGTCAGCAAGCCAGCCAGCATCCAGCTAATCAGTCAGTTGGTCGGTCATCAGTCAGTGAAATTAAATTAGTGAATTAAAATAGTGCGCCATATCATTTGGAAGTGCTTTATATAATCACAAATCACAAGTTTGCTAAATATAATTATATAATCACAATCACAAATTTGGAGCGTATACTGAGTGTAAGATATTATTTAAATCTAAAAAGGAATCATGAACGATATTTAAAAATTGCCAGTATGATTATAAAAATCTGTAGTCAGGAACGACAGGATACAAAGTCGAAATTTTTAATCTAGCCGAATAAACAAAATTTGTTTATACGTTGCTTCTTTGGGGAGTTGTATCAATTTTGTAGCGTGTTAGAACCCTTATACGTTAATAAATTGTAATTTTTCAAAGTTTCTCTTGAATTTTAAATTTGTTCGATAAATTTTTGAAACATTTTTCAAATTTATTAACATAAAACGCTGAAATTTTCTAACACTACAAAAATGAATTAGAATTTCATGGAGCAAAATCCCAAGGATATACTTTTGTATCTTTTGGTAACTCAATATCACTATTCGAATTAATTTTTAATGTAATTTGTGGTACATGTGACAATTCAAAAATTATTAGATGTCATGTAACACTTTGCTATTGTAACTAACACATTTTGTTGGTTTGCATGTAATACAAGCTGGCAAAAAATGTAGATTGTCATTTAAAAATTAATTTAAAATGTCATTTAACCGCAGTTAAAAATTATGTATAGTTTATTAAGATATATTTTAAATGCATGAATTCAGAAATAGTGATATCGTATAGTTTGAAATTTTTTGTACAAACAATTGAAATTTATATAAAATTTGTTCAAACTTATTAGAATTAATTTAATCGAAGTAACATATCTAGCTTATTTGATAAAAAAAATTTTTGCTTGGTCAATGCTTATTATTATAACTTTGATGGCTCGACATGCATTCAATACTGATATATATATACCTATGATTAACTGCAACATTGTAACTATCTAAAAAATTCAACATTCAACAAAGACGCACCAAACTATATAATTATATCGAAAGCAGTTGATGTCGAAAATAAGCTTATTTTGTGGTACTGTAGTATTAACATTGTTAATAATGTTTAATTTTAGAAAATATTGAAAGATAGCATAAAAAAATTTTGTTTAATTTTAATTATATATATATTTAAATGTGCAATGTTGTTTATAGAAATTTTCAAATAAAACAAAAATTTCCAAAAGTTTAACCTGAACGTTATGAAATGCTTATTATTTTACAATTAATTTTGAAAGCAATTTGTTGCTTCGGCTCTGATTTGATGATCCTGCATAATGTCGTCGAGGAGTTACCACCTGGTACTGAAATAAAAAATATAAAAGATGATCCAAATGTTAAACAAATTTTTTCGAGCAACGAATTATCTGTTATTACTTGTGATTTGATGGATGATAACGAAAAAGTTAAACTTTTAAATTTTTAATTCACAGATTCTCAATGTTTTTACACTAAGGTAAATTATTTTTGTAGATTGTGGAATATCTTAAAATAAATTCAAAATCTTGCATTGTATTGATTTCGAAACGGTTGGATAGAGATGTACTATGTCCATCATCTGATATTTGTAATTTTCCATACACAATAACTATGCAACCATTGCGATTTTTTCACATCATCAAAGTTATTTTTGTCATTTTGGATTTAAATGACAATAAACCATTTTTTACTAAAAGTTTGTTTCAGACAAGTGTTCTCGAAAATACTAACATTGGCTTTAGAATAGCTTTACCAACAGCCATTGATACTGATTCGCCTGAGAACGGAATAATTGGGTACACGTTACACGATTGCGATCATACTGACGCTCAATATTTCAAACTTGTTTATAATATAACAAAACAAAATTTGTCAACGCTCTCAAAAAATTTTCATCCTAATAAAAATTATTTAGATCTTGAAATAACAGGTTTGCTAGATAGAGAACTAAAAAGTCTTCACACATTCGCTGTAGAAGCTTGGGATGATGAAAATCTTTTTCGTAAAAAACAACGTCATATAAAACTAAAATCTCCCAATGATAACCATTGCACAATTCCATCATTATTTATAAAAATAAACGTAGACGATGTCAATGACAATAAACCAATATTTTTGGAAAAGTTTTACAAAGTTGATGTGTATGAAAATATTCCGGGGGGTTCGTCGTTGGTTACTGTAAGGGCAACTGATGAAGATATCGACAAAAACGGCCTTATTGCTTACAGTTTGTCAGAAAAAACAATTTTTCATTATTTAAATATGTTTTCTATTAATTCTAAAACTGGAGAAATAATTCTCATAAAGAAATCTGATGATGAATTAGTGTTAGACTACGAAGTACAGAACCAATATACTTTAGAAATTGTCGCAAGCGATCATGGAAATGTTTCTCTTTCAGAAAAAACCCACGTACTTATTAAAGTATGTAAAGATGAATTTAAAGCGAATTTGCATTTTTTAACCTATTTTGCCCTTTATGCAAATATTATAACATTATATTAAGTTATACATATATTTTAAAGGTCTTAGACGTGAACGACAATCCTCCAAAAATTCATCTAGATCCAAATATATTGGAAGCTAGTGGATGTTGCTGGTGGGTAGAAGAAAATAAAAACAAGAATACAATTGTGGCTACAGTTTCTGTGTTTGATCCAGATTCTGATGGAGAAGGGGCAATAGAGTGCTTCCTACAGACCTTCAATTATGTAAGTTTTATAACAAAATTATAATTAATTTTCTAATTTTGATAAGCAATTTTAGCCCTATTTGTTTTCGTTTTTGTTGTCCAATTTTTCAGTTTTAAACTTCTATATTTAACCTAAATATAACTTCTTACTATTATTTATTTGCACTTATTTTACGCTTGTTGTGTAGTGTTTAATAATATCGTTTATATATTATTTATTTCTGATTATAGTCAACTTCAAATAAAATGTAATCTTAACGAACACACGCACACACACAAACACCACACACACATTATTATTATTAAACACTTATAAAGCGCCCATTAAAATAAATAAATATATATATATATATATATATATATATATATATATGTATATATATATATATATATAGGTTGATAAAAGATCATAATTTTTACAATATTCTATAAATTCTACCGAATGTTTGGCGTTATTATGTTTGTAGTTCGTTTTTTCGATTTTTCTCACTAAAGTTTTTTGGAGAACGTTTAGTTTATTAAAATTCAAAATAAACTTATTTTCCGAATTCATGCTGCGAAATAAGGCCATATTTTGATTCCGAATGAATCATCGTCAGTTCAAGTTGGTTTATATAGGGAAAGATTCACTTTGTGAAAATGAACTTAGATGGAAATTAGGTTTCAGATATCTTTATTAACTTTCTTTATCATATTATCATATTAACGTCAAACATTCGGTAGAATTTATATATATATATATATATATATATATATATATATGTGTGTGTGTGTGTGTGTGTGTTGGTAATAGACTATAAGTTTTACAATATTCTATAAATTCTACCGAATGTTTGTCATTAATAGGTTTGTAGTTTGTTTTTTCGATATATATATATATATATATATATATATATATATGTGTGTGTGTGTGTGTGTGTGTGTGTGTGTGTGTGTGTGTGTGTGTGTGTGTTGGTAATAGACTATAATTTTTACAATATTCTATAAATTCTACCGAATGTTTGGCGTTAATAGGTTAGTAGTTCGTTTTTTCGATTTTTCTCACTAAAATCTTTTATTAAAATTCAAAATAAACCTATTTTTCGAATTCATGCTGCAAATAAGGCCATATTTCGATTCCGAATGAATCATCATCAGTGCGATTTAGTTTATATAGGAAAATATTCACTTTGTCAAAGTGAACTTAGATGGAAATTAGGTGTCAGGTTTCTTTATTTGCTGGTCCATCTTCGTTGGTTTCCTTTTCTTCATCGATAGCATCATATTTTTCTTTGTCACTTTAATTTTAAGATGTGTGTAGTTGCTGTTCTGGTATATTACTTTGATGTTGCTGTCGAGGATTTCACGGCTAATAGTGATTGAGTTTGTTGAGCCCAAATAAGATTTAATAGCACCACTCTGTTTATGCATCGTAAGCCTTCTAGTCAGTGAGGTAGTAGTAATCCCGATATATGAGTCATGTTGACATGCACAGCCGTCAAAGGGGCAATTAAATTCATATATTACGTGATTACGCTTTAACACAGAGTTATCTATAGGACTAAGTTGTTTTTCAGTATTAGGTGAGACGTCTTTATATTGTTGTAATTAATTCGGAGAATCTTAAAAATGCAGAAGCAGTCCTAATTGACATCAATAAACCAAAAATAAATATACAAAAAAAAATGACAACCTCACTCCCAACCCGGCGCTTAATCAACAATGAAAACAATGAAGTAATAAAAACTAGCATTGTAAATAGTGACAAAGAAAAATATGATGCTATCGATGAAGAAAAGGAAACGAAGATGGACCAGCAAATAAAGAAACCTGACACCTAATTTCCATCTAAGTTCACTTTGACAAAGTGAATATTTCCCTATATAAACTAAATCGCACTGATGATGATTCATTCGGAATCGAAATATGGCCTTATTTCCAGCATGAATTCGAAAAATAAGTTTATTTTTAATTTTAATAAACTAAAGATTCACCAAAAGACTTTAGTGAGAAAAATCGAAAAAACGAACTACAAACATATTAACGCCAAACATTTGGTAGAATTTATAGAATATTGTAAATATATATATATATATATATATATATATAAATTAAATAATTTATTATACATATATAAAATAAACTATTATACATTTTATAAAAATATC